GGCCCGAGCCTGCGGCTGCGCGCTGAGCGGGGGCTGTCCTCTCTCCCACAGTGGGGAACATCCCGTATGAGGCCACAGAGGAGCAGCTAAAGGACATTTTCTCCGAGGTTGGGCCTGTGGTCAGTTTTAGGTGAGATCTCCCCCGCGCTCATCCTTGTCCGGTTCCCCCGGGGCAGCGGGTACAAACGAGGTCCTGAGCCCCACACGCCACTTGAGTGTGTAAGGCAGTGCAGAGCGGGCCTTGCAAAAACGAGCTTCAGCCAGGCGGGAGCAGAGCAATGCTGTTGTGCTGCGCTTGAGTGTGGGTAGAAGGATGGTGTCACTAGCACTGTGACACCTCACTTTGATTTTCCTGGAGAGTTCATGACAGCTGTGTTCTGGGCACAGACACTGAGGTTCGCTCTGTGCAAAGCTCACCAGGTGGTGTAGGGCTTAACAGCCCAAGCACAACAGCATGAGTGTGGAGATACTGCTGCTCTGGCCTACTCCAGGCTGGAGGTGGGCCACCTTCTTGTGGCACGGAGCTGGAGCTGATGAGTCCTCAAATCCTGAACAGGCTCCGTGTAGAGAGCTGGGAGCGTAGGGCGGGAGCACCCAAGTGGCTCTACAGGGATGTTTTTGTGGCTCAACACCAGGCTGCCTAGAGCTCTGAGCAGAGCAAGGGCTTTGGAGCAACTGGTGGCTCTCCTGGAAGAGCCCTGCGGTCCAAAGAACAGCCCTCATGGAGTGAGAAAGATAGCTTGGCATCACCAGAAGCGCAGCGCTCAAGCTGACGACTTTTCTGGAAACCAGAGCTCTGGGAACAGCCATCGACCTGGATCTAGGAGGCCTTTTGGCTCTGGCTCAGGACCGGCTGTCCCACACCTTTAACTGCGCCAGCTGCCTTGACTCTGTGTTCCCCAGCGCTCCTGTTTGGTGTATCCCAACAGCCCACTCCCAGGTGAGGAGGAGCTGAAGGCATTAAGCATTCTCCTCAGTGCTTGCACTGCCCTTAGTGGTGCTGGTGGTTCTCTCTTCCTCGCTGTCCAGGTTGGTATATGACAGGGAGACAGGAAAGCCGAAGGGCTATGGCTTCTGTGAGTATCAAGATCAGGAGACCGCTCTCAGCGCTATGCGGAACCTGAACGGACGAGAGTTCAGCGGCAGGGCCTTGCGCGTGGACAACGCGGCCAGTGAGAAGAACAAGGAGGAGCTGAAGAGTGAGTCTGAATTTTGTGGTGGAGAAAATTGATGTCATTTTGGGTCTGAGCAGTCATGTTAGGAAGCGTGCCATCTGTTCTGTGATGGTAGTGAGAAGGAGGCGTCCCGGAGCTGATCTGCTCTAGGTGACATAGCAAGTACAGGTTTGCAGAGGGAGGTATGGGCTAAGCTGTGTTTTTTCTCTCTCAGAGGATCTCCCTGCTCTCCCTGGCTACTCCGTCCCTTAGTGGTGACTGTGGCATTTCCCTTCTGATGAGCCTATCAAATACAGTCAGTTGATGTTGTCATCCAAGGCAAGGTCACAGCTTGTATCACAAACTCCGTTGCAGGCTTGGGCACAGGCGCTCCCATCATAGAGTCGCCCTATGGGGACCCTGTGAATCCTGAAGACGCCCCCGAGTCCATCAGCCGGGCAGTTGCCAGCCTGCCACCTGAGCAGATGTTTGAGCTGATGAAGCAGATGAAGGTGAGTGAAAGTGGAGGGCTGTGCTGCCTGCTCTGTGTGTGGGCTTGTCCCTTCCATCAGCAGCCTCTCGTACCCTCGCAGCCCGCAGAGGCCGCACTGCAGCTCTGATCTGTGCGTTTCTCCTCAGCTGTGTGTCCAGAACAGCCCCCAGGAAGCCAGGAACATGCTGCTACAGAACCCCCAGTTGGCTTACGCCCTGCTGCAGGCCCAGGTGGTAATGAGGATCGTCGATCCGGAGATTGCACTGGTTTGTCCCCTGCTGCCTTCTCTGGGATTGTGGGATATCAATGGGAGCCTGTTGCGGAAGCGGGGAGTGGAAGAGAACTTCTTTCTCCCTCTTCTGCTTCTAGAAAATCCTGCATCGCCAGACCAGTGTTCCTCCTCTGATCCCAGGTAACCAGCAGCCAGTGCCAGGACCAGGGCCTGGGCCAGGACCAGGGCCAGGGCCAGGTCCAAACGCCCAGCTGAACCCACAGAATACCCCATCGTCGCAGCCACAGCCCATAGTAAGAGCCTGTAAGACAGACTTGCCGTGCCTTGGGTGCACGTGGGAGAGATGGGCGTTATCCCCAGCTTTCCCAGGTTGGGATGTGTGTGCCTGGGTGACAGAGCTTTGCTGAGGTCTGGTTTCTCTCCTGGGTAGGGTGGCATGCACGTAAACGGTGCTCCTCCTCTGATGCAGCCGCCTATGCAGGGAGGAGTGCCAGCCCCAGGACAGATGGCAGCCGCTGTGCAGGGCCCGGGCCCTGGCCCTGGCCCCATGGCCCCGGGAGGTGAGTGCCTGGTTTTTCCTGAATGGTGCCCAGGCTGCCATAGGCACACAGGTCCTGCAGGCAGCCTGCCTGTACCTTACCCCTGACTGGGGTGTTTGGCCCTGTGCAGGTGCCCCTGCTGGAGCAGTATGTGCTCCCGTACTGTGGGCTGTGGTTGTGGCTGCTGCCAGCAGTGGTTCAGAAAGATAGCTTTGCTCTGTGGGGAACTGACACCGACAAAATAAATCTCTGGGTGCTACCCCAGGAATTGGGAGTGGGGCAGGTATTCTGAGCCAGAGGAACGGGTAAGTTCTGTAGGGATAGTCAGGAAGGGGTCTGATCTTTCTCCGTTCCCTCTCAGGCGGGCTGCAGCCGCAGGTTGGGATGCCAGGAGGAGGGCCTGTGCCCTTGGAACGCGGACAAGGTAAAGCGCATGTTTGTTAATGCTGTGTCTCATGCAAGCCTTGCTCCAGCTGGGGCCAAGGCCGTGGGTACTGAGCAGTGCTGCATCGGGAGAGCCCCTGCCAGCTACCTGCAGCCTCGCTAGCCCCGGGTCTGGAGATGGAGCAGATCCCACAGCGCTGGGCTGCACCCGAGTTCGTTCGCTTAGGCGCAAGGCTGTGGTGACAGCTCTCCTGCTTCCAGGGCTCCATCACACGCACCAGTTTGCCCCAAGCTTGCTCTGCATCATGTTATGCAGGCATGCCCTGGAATTCAGGAGAGCCGCTGGTCCCGCAAAGCCCCACTGAGCGGGATGTGCCTGTGTTTTCCATCTGTCTGTGAGCCTGTGTCTGTCCCTGTGCTTGTGTGGGCAGGGAGAGCTTGCTCTTCTCCAGTCCCTGTCCTGCTCCTTTGCTGTCTGGGCGCTGGGAAGCAGCTGCGTGGCCGCGGTGTCTGCCCGTGTCTCCCTGTGCTCTCTGTGCCGTGCCCAGCAGAGGGAGCTGGGCCTTTGCTTTTGCTTGCGATAGTGAGTGCGAGGCTTGGCAGGGAATTTCCCAGTGAGTGATTGCTCGGCCCTCCCTCTGCAGACGTGGTCTGTACAGCCCAGCCCTGGAGCCAGATTCCTTGCCATTCAACATATTGCGTGGCTGCCCCGTTAAGGCAGGTGCTGAGCCCAGCACAACCAAGGCATTCCT